TTTTTTTTTTTTTTTTTTTCCGTTTTTTTCTCTGAAATCAGGTTAAACGAACCATCGCATGTCCCCTGAACAAAGATCCCTAAACACTTAAGACTTTAAAAGCTGAACTTGCATGTCTGCATGTCTGTCCCAGAACCGTTCAACCAGACCCCGCCGCCCACAAAGACGACGCATGCAGCAATATAGTGATGTATTGGGATTGGGGGATTGGGTGGAACGCCGAAATAAGGGGGGTGGGTAGGTTCGTCATTATCCCAAAGCCAAAACCCTAGGCCGGGCTCCCACGCACTGGGCGTTTTCACGAAAGATGCTGGTGATCGTATTCTGGCCTTGATATGTTGCCCCTAAACCCTAAACCCTACCAAACAGAAAGAGAGTAAGAAGACTAATGCAGCTGCGCTTGGTTGCTAAAGGTCTAACTAAGTGAGGAGCATTGTTCGAGATGCGTTTCGGGCTTAAGCTGCAAGGCTTATGGGGCTCAGGTCAAAAGCAAATTGGCTTAGGGTTTCATTTTCGTCAAAACTTTATTTAGGAATTGCCAAGTGATTTTTGGCGCACGGAAGGTCAGCTTGGATGAGCGGGAGGATCGGCGTCGACGCCTGGGACCCAATGCGTGACTGTTTCAAATCCAAGCTGTCATTGGTGATCAACACATTCTTGCTTGAAGGCTAGCGGATTTCAGTTGGGTAGTTTCCCCGTATAAGGCACCTATATGGCCCTCATACAATGTTGCCAGGCTCACGATATAAGCCTTGTACAAGCTCGTCAGGTTTACCCCTAGCAACTCTCCACCTGAACAATCCTATAACTTACCTTTGGTTAGCTAGGAATGGAGGAATGGAGAACAAAATGGAAACTACTATAACGTGTTATATAGGGGCTACTGTAAGGATCCATTCCTTCATTCCTAACTAACCAAGGGTAAGACTATCCAAGCTTTGAGGTTCTCAGGTGGTAGTGGACTTTGAGTTTCGAGATCAGGCCGCCATGATACTGCCGCTGCCGTTGCTGCTGCTGCTGCTGCTGCTGCCGTTGTTGTTTTCCAGCTGCGTCGTTTTGGGGTTTCAGGGTAATTGCATTCTCAGCGTATAGGGCATATGGCAATTTTTGTGAATAAGGGGACTGCAATTTCGACCCTAATATACTATAGTCCATGTAATGGGGAGCCCCAAAATGGTTCCCTGACGTTGGGAAACTCTAATCCCTAAGCCCCATTTATCTCTACATAGCCCCTATATACGCCTACGTATCCCCCTAAGCCCCTTGAACGGTACCCCTGTTGTGGGAAATCCCTCTACACCCTTGACCCTGAAACCTCAACCCTAAACCAACCCTAAACCCTGAACGCTCAGCCTTAGTACTGCCTTAGTCCAGCATTTACTCGTCAAGCCTGTTGCGATTCCAACGCCTGTGGCGTGATTTTGTGTAGT